CGGGGAGAAACACTGGAGGAAGAACAGCAGTCCCACCAACCGAGTGAGCAAGAGACGGAGAAAAGTGTACTTTACGTGCGAATAACAAAAATCGATGGAGGCACATAAAGAAAGAATAGAGGAGGAAAATCAAGTAAACTTGATTAACCTCGTTTAAAAAAACTGTCTCAATATCAGTAATTAAATCTATGTATAGAATTATATTTATTTTATTTTTATTATTAATTTTTGTTTATTTATTAAAATGGACTGATCACGGCGGGCCGTTTTTTAAATCGCAGTCCAGACATGACCGTTACTGAGCCGTGTTCGTAAATATCGCTGCAGGCTGTGTGAAACTGAAGCTGCATGAACGGATTAGAGTCGTTATTATATATCTGAAGGCTGTGGCATGAAGCAAAACAGTTTTATTAAAAAAAATTAAGAAGAAGAAAAGGAAATGACATGAAAATCGCTCTGCGTGCTCACTGGTGAGACACTTGAGGTTTGTGCCGATCTCCGTGCACAAATGCAACTAAAAACCTGAAACACGCTTCAGTTCTGCTCAATAAAAATCTCTGTGTTATTACTGAGGAGCAGAAAGCGCTCAGCTCTGCGTGAGGACTGAGCGAACAGAGAAAGCCACGTTTCAGCCGTGAACTCTCAGCTCTGAGACATCCACCCGTCACAGTTACTCTACACTTACTGACATTTCCCCATCTCCTCAAACACTCTATATACCCTTACTTACTTCTTGTTACCCTTACTCATTTCTCTTTTTTAAATTGCATTTTTAGAAAAAAAATCTCATATAATTTTTTTAAGTAAGAAATTTTTTTTGCCTTTTATTTTTGTTAATCCCTTCACCATTTGAATTATTTATTGATTAATCAATCATTATTTATTATTCCTCTTTTACTGTTCATTAAATTTTCTAAATTCACAGCCTCCCACATAACTCTTAACCCTTTCCACTCTGATAGACAACTTTGTTTCTTTAGCTCTGTCTTTATTGTGGCATGATGTGTTGCATTTTGTGCTCTTCACTTAATCAGATAAGTTCTGTTTAAGTGATTTCTTCATTCAGTGGGTCCTGCAGCAATCAGGCCTATGTGTAGCAAACTAAATTTAACTAGCTTTCCAATAAATAGAAAAAAGCCAGTTATTTCAAAATTTAACGGGGTAATATTTCTCATAATATAAAAAATATCTGTCATATTGTAGCAAATATACAAAAAGAAAGAAAGCATATGCAAAGACATCAGGAAGGGGTAAATACTTTTTCAGTGCACTGTATGTGACCTCACATGTACATGCAAGAATCCTTGATCAAAGCTGTCAGATAAAATGCTTGTAGTGGTGGACGCTAAAGTAACATAGTATAAGTATATTTTCTAAAATTTGGTTTCAGTCCAAAACAGCCGTTTCTTCATCCCGCTCATTACACAAACACAGCTTTACAGTATCATATGATGTGCAGCGCTTCAGATACTTGAGGTGTGAACACACGTGAGTGGTTTGTGTATAAAAACAAAACATAAATGGAGATTTATATTTTGTACCATATCAGCACAGAGAGAAGGAAGACTTCACTCGTTACTGCAGTTGCATTTATAGCTGCTCCTCTCATTTCTTTAAACACTTCTTGCTTAAACTGCATCAGGTCGATCACATATGAAAAATTGTGTATTTCATCAAAGATGTTTGAAGATGGTTTCTTCTGTGGTTGGAAAATTAAAGCGAGATCGATATCCGGCTGTCTTCCTTCCTCCGCACACGCCTAATGTGCATGAACAGATTAAATCTCCTCTGGTGCGATCACTGACGACAGCTTTAAGAAAACACATTTAAAATGGTTGTTTTAAAACACACAACAATTTATTAATGAGATCATTCCTTGTGATAGCTGAGCTATTTTCTTTCCCATACGGAAAAGAAATAGTAAAAACTTATATGTGATTACTCATGAAAGTGGCCACTTTCATGTGTAAATCATATAAGGCTTACATGATTTACTCATGAAAGTGGCCACTTTCGCATTACTTTCATACATTGTTTTAGTAAGTATCCAAAACATACAAGTTTCATTATATAATTTTTCAAGGGATCTTATATGTGTTTTCACTCTTATATGCTTTTCATACAAGTTTCACACAAGACAGATACAAACTATATAAGATTTATATATATCTTTTCCATATGGGTTACCTTCAGCTTTAAATTAAGTTTATTGTGTGAACTTGCAGTAAAAGAGAAACTCAATGTCTCATATCACCCAACTTGAAGTAGATAACAGGAAGTTGGTGAAGTGCAGCTGAATTTAGCCGTTCTGCTAGCAGAAAGCAGCTCAGCTCAAACCCTCTATTTAAGATGTTTGGGACAAAAGCAACCTGCAATTATTTAAATATGTAAATGCTCAGCACTGTTACTAGCTTGCTCAAAAGCAGCAACATGAAGTGGAGAAAGACACCAGAATTTGTAGAAACAATGTTTTTTTATTATTTTGTTTTATTTTATTTAATCTCAGTGAAACATTTCTAATTTTACTCAAATTACAAGAACGACTTGAATGATGGACAAAATCATGCTCCCTCTGATTCACTATAAAGGAAATAAGTTTAAAGATAACAAGAAACTGCTAAACACAGCTGTAATCACAAAACACATGAGCGCAGTTCAGCAGGGCACTGAAAATAACAGCAAACGGTCAAAGCACCAGGACTTTAAGATTAATCAGACCTACCTCCTGCTGTTCTGCAAAGACTCCTATATCCCATATCCACACAAATAAAAAATAATTCTACTCACAATTATGTTAAGTACATTAAAATGGGTTTCAGCAGGACAAATAAAAGGCTTTACACTTGTTTTAGTGTACTACAAACTTAAAGTACCCTTAAAAAAACAAAGAAAACAAAATTAACATAAACAAAGTACAATACAATTCCCCCAATAGTGCCTACTGCCTAGAGAGGTCTTGGGCTTCCTGTTAGCTGTAGTAAGATTTTATTTCAGTAAAGTTAGACTCATTTTTTTTTTTTAATTTAATCCTGTCTGGCAGCTGTTGCCATCAGAACTCTGATCAGAGTGCATTTGTGGTGCAACACATTTTGCTTTTCCAAGATCGCCAAAAATAAATTCTGTAATGTTCCTCTTGTTCAGGTCTTCAAGAAACTAGATACACGTGTAGACAGGGACAGGAAGTCCACTGTCCAAGGACACATTTTGATTCATCTGTTGCATCATTCTTTATCAAAATGCAAACACAGCCATACACAGCAGTATCTTCCTAAAAACATTAAATATGTACACTGAGGACACACATTCATGTTCATACTCTACTTTTTCCTGACTGTGCTATACAGTGCTGATGAATACTCTGCAGCCTGTTGATCTCTTAATCTGTAAAGGTAAAAACACACTCTCAGAAATATAAAGATAATATGATTTTTTTTAAAACAGCTCATAATGCCAGTACCATTCATTAAGAAAAGAAAAAAGCTTAGTGTAATGCCAAAAATAAACAAATATAACAGCCTGGAAATATTTCCCCAGCGTTTCACAAACTAAGTGTCCTCACCTTTGGGTGCTGTTTAATCTGACCACAGTGTAGTCCACATCTGTTACTTCTTCGTCCTTTTCTTTTCTTCTTTTGGTCTTAATGGGAAGAATGTTGTAGTAGTCGTGCTCTTCTGGCTTCTTTATGAAAGTTACACTGGAATAGCAAAGATCATCCTGCTGCTCCTCTGCTGCTCTACTCTGTGCTGGAGCTGAAGGGCCGTCACGCTTTGGACACCCACTTTGCGGAGCGTTAAGTGTGTAATAACAATATGCATTTTCCTGAAAAAAAAATAACCATAAAACGTGAAAGGTTATGGTTGGACATCCCCCTTTCCTCCTGAGCCACAGCCTCCCAAACCTTGTATTTCTATTTATTCCTGGAGAGGTTTATATGGTAAATGGTAAATGGCCTGCATTTGTATAGCGCTTTTCTAGTCCATAGGACCCCAAAGCGCTTTACACTACATTCAGTCATCCACCCATTCACACACTGGCGATAGCAAGCTACATTGTAGCCACAGCTGCCCTGGGGCATACTGACAGAGGCGAGGCTGCCGGACACAGGCGCCACCGGGCCCTCTGACCACCACCAGTAGGCAAACACGGGGTTAGTATCTTGCCCAAGGATATTTGGCATGCAGCCAGGGTGCAGCCTGGGATCGAACCACCGACCTTCTGATTAGTGGCTGACCTGCTCTGCCACCTGAGCTACAGCCACCCCACCCCACTGCAGCCCTATATGCAGCAAAGGAAGAGCAATGCCACCAACAACACTATTAAACAGAAAGATGTCATTTTCTCAACACATGAAAGTTAATTACAATTAATCACACTCTCAAGAAAAACAGCAGACTTTACTTTTTATGAACTGTTCATGTACATTTTCATATATAAGAGAACTTAAGGTACCCACACACTGTGCAGTATTAGAAATCAATCATTAGATCCACACTGTGCAGTGTGGATCTCATAAACCTTGGGTGGATCATGAAGTTTGAAGCATGTAAACTATACAAGGCCGCATCATCAAACGTCCGTACTATAGCAGCCAAATTTAAACTTCCCACTGTGCAGTGTATGACAGCAGTATGCGACATGTACAAAGAGATTAAGTTACATTAACATGGTCTTTTTCAGGTTCATATATGTCTACCTGATACCTGACCTCTTCTTCCTTACCTCTGCTTTGTTGTCTGGCCTCTCTCTGGAAGAATTTGTTTTGAAGCACCCTTTTCTTCTGTACAGAAGAACGAATGAACATGTTAATTAATCATAACATGAAATTACTAAATAAATTTTTAATAACAACAATATAACTGAACTGCTCACCTAATGAATATGATTCCACAGATGATTATGACAGCCAGAATTAGAACAGCGATTAATGCAATTGCAGTTGATTTTTTCCATGAGTCTAGGAAACAGTGACAAAACTGAAAACTTGTTACTGGATTACAAGATTAATGGTCTCATAAGAATGGACATAGAAGATAAAACATATCAGACCAAAGTCTTAATTAATGACACACTTTGAGTATAGTTCTTGCCTAACGGCATACAGCAGTTACAAACTAAAAATACTATAAACTACAATCAGGGCATTTTTTAACAACTCCATTGTGTCACTACCTTGATTGTTCCCAATGTCAGGAGAAAAACTGACTGTGCTACGGGTCAGAGTCACTGGACTGTCGTCACCAATCTCACCAGATGGAGTGACTGAATTACCCTCCATTATCTCAGCAGAGGGACTCACTGACATAGAGGGAAGCTTTGGAGCATCTGGAAGGGATGTGGAAATAATTATGACAAAAATTGCAGCAAATTTACATTTGAATTTGGTGTTCAAACAAGTCAATGTGAAGAAATTGTACAAAATCCTATTCTTTAACTTTAAATATCTATTCCCGACATCGCAGATTGTACAGTTGATTGACAGTTTTCTCCCCCTGTGACAATGTCAGAGTTTAAACCCCTGTTTCCTGTGTGGTATTATAGGAAAACTGTCTTGACTCACATTTCACTCTGATAAAGATGACTTCAGATGACATTCGGCCCACCTCATGCTCAGCAGTACAGTAATACGTTCCAGAATCAGAGAACCAGATGGACCTGAAGATGATCTGCTTTTTTTGGCTGATCGGTTGTTGTTCCTTGTACCAGGTATATTTAGCTGCTGGGTTACCATCACTGCTACAAGTCAGAGTCACTGAACTTCCCTCCACTATCTCAGCAGAAGGACTCACTGACACAGTGGGAACCTCTGGAATGTCTAGAACAGAAAAAATACATTTACTTTTATCGTTATTGTTATGTTATAATTGTGTGTGCAAATTATCTCTATTATCTAAAGTGGTGGTCAATACATTTCCCTCACTTTCATTTCAGTCTGTCACACCCTCAAGTATGGGGAAAGACAAGCCTGTAATTATTGGTCACATTTGTTATCTTTAGGGTGACCAACCGTCCTCTTTTTTTGCACTTGTTGACTTGTAAAAGCCAATTTTACCATTCATTAACCGCACAGAGAAGGCATTGTTTAAATATGTTTTCTTTAAGCAAACAGTATTATTAAAGTTCCTCATGACTGGGCCAGGTGTCCTCTTTTTTGAAAATCAAAATATGGAGATCCTAGTTATTTTCAATATATTAGATTCATGCTTTGCATGAACATACCATGTTTGCTGGATTTGTCAGTTGTTCCATAAATTGGATGTACACATGACAGTCCATGGACAGACCTTTGTAGACAGTCAGAAGATCCCTGCTTATTACATTGCTAATTAGTTCGTCTAAAGTAAATAATCACGATTAAATGTACATGTGCTTGTACCTTCCAAAATGAAAAGAACTTTGATGTTCTCTGATCAGGATCAAACCACTCTCCAGCACAATGACTGTTCTTTTCTGACTTTAACTGAGTGCTTACCTCTAATTCATGAAACTGACTCCACTCACCTTTAAACTGTATGTACAGTATTGTGAATTTTACTGAACATCTTAAACAAAATTTCAGGGAACAAAGAAAGCTGAGGAGCTGAAAATCGTGATCATCGCATAACACAGTGAAGTAAACTTACACACAGGATCTGAGCGATAATCTTCATGTCCTTTGAAAGCACAGGAGATGATGTCTCCAGGATTGAACAGATCTTGATAAGAACTTCGTTCAACCATAAACTGCTTGTTTTTGAACCAGATGAAAGAAAGACGACCAGCTGGACTGCAGCTGCTTTCACACTTCAGCTCTGCCTCAGTCTGAGACTCATGGACTGATATTATTCTGCTCACCTTCACCTGCAGAGCTGAATATGACAACACAGCAGACATCAGACTTAAATACTCAAAACAATAAATACACCCATTAACACAACAGAGCAACTGAGCTGATTAAATATCCATCAGTGTGTGTTGATCAGTACCTGTGACAGTCAGAGTTGTTCCAGGTAAACTACTCTTCCATTCAAATCTTTGTGTTTTGAATTTGAAGTGATACTCGGCTGAATCACTCTCTGTCAGGTCTCTGATGCTCAGAGTGGAGCGTCCTCTCTCTCTTTCAATTACCTGAACACGACCTGCATACTGGGAGTCTTTTCTGAGGTCCTCAGATCCACGACCAGAATGGAACCAGGATGTTGATTGGATTTGACGTTCAAAATTGTTGTAAGTACAAGAAATGTCCACTGATGATCCTTTGAATGCACAGATTCTTCTGTTACTGTAATTCACTCTGTTGCACCACTGTTTTTTGGCACCTAAGAGATAAAAAAAAAACATGCTTATTGACAGAAAGAACACACCATTAATAAGCCTCCATATTAAAAGTTTTCATTCAGGTAAAATCTCAAAGTAAACTTACAAACTAATGGAGAGTGAAAATCCTCAAATCCTTTTAAAGCACATGAGTAGCTGTTTTCAGTGTCATATTGAGCGTCATAAGAAGAAGAGCTGGCTCCATTCACTTGTTGTCCATTTTTGTACCAGACATAAGATGAAACATAAGGATTACAGCTGGTGACACAATCCAACTGCCGTCCAGTCGACATACTGACCTGAACATCTTGACCAGTGGACAAGAAACAATAAATAAGATGTCAGTCACTCTCACACTGAGGGAGACATTTGTAAAATTCACAGAAGTGATAAAATTAATTACGGTAGTAACAAAATAATAATTCTCTCAATGTCTATACATTAAACCATTGAAAAGTTTAGAAGCACAGTAGAACATGCATATTAAGTTGATGAAATATTTATCAGTGTGTGTAGATCAGTACCTGTGACAGTCAGAGTGACTCCAGGTAAACCAGTAAAACTTTTCTGGTTTGCTTCAAACCTGAACTTGTACACAGCTGAGTCGCTCTCTCTCAGGTCTCTGATTGTCAGAGTGCAGCTCTTCCAATGAGAGCTGTATGAAAGTCAACCTGCATATGCTGTTTTCAGATCATACGGGTTATAATTATTCCCTTTAGTGAACCAAACTTTTTTTAACACAATTACTCTTGAAGGGTGTTTGAAGGAGCAGCCTATGTCCACTGTTGATCCTTTTAAAGGCACAGATCTGAGTAGAAGTGTAAGTCACTCCATTATTACTCTGAACCACTGTAACACAGAACACATCAGAATGCAGTTAGATTAATGATAACAACCATAAACAGTCTTATTTGTAGTTAAACTATATGCAGAGAGAAATTCTGATGGGATTTAGACCAAGCACTCTTCATCACAATAGAAAAACTGAAGTTTTGATTCTTTTGTTGTTGACCGTAACAATCATGAAATAGTTTTAGAGTCATTTTCTTCTAATCACCTAATTGGTTGAGACCAGGTATAGTGCTTGATAACAGGGTATAATATAATGTATTCATATGAGGTATATGTGAGAATGTTTATTAATCCTTAGAAGATTTCTCTCATAAAGTCAATGTTTAATAAACTAGAAATAATCTAAATTGTGTAAATAAGTACTATAGCAAAATAAACATTTTAGAAAGTTAAATACAAATACAATGGCCTTTTTCTAACAGTGTATATTTATGGAAAAAAATAATATCTGTAGTGTTTACAACACATTACACAACATTTGTATTTTTTTACTAAAAAAAAGAAGGCAAAAAAATAAATCTCTTCTGTTTACAGTTATAATTCATAAAAGTAATGCAGTTGCTGAATGTGTGACAGCCAGAAACAGCTCTGGTGTCGACAGTGTAACCGTTGATATAAGTCAAAAATAGAGATACACAATACCTGATAAAGAGAGAAGAAAGAGAACACATCTGCTCGCTGCTGCACTTAAACTCATAGCTGCTCCTCTCATTTCTTAAATCACATCAACATGACAAATACTGTTCACTAGTTAGTCTTCATGAGACGCTGAGGTGAGATGAGATCTCTTCTGTGGTTGGAAAATATAAAAGTCATATTAAACTGTCTTCCTTCCTGGTGTACACGCTCAGTAAGCGTAAACAGACTCCCACACTGAAATGAAGAAGTGGTTCTTATACAGTGCAGCACGCAGAATGAACTTCTTAAAAACAAACACAACATATTTGAATCACTTTTTAATTTTACGTTTCTGGTCCAGTTTATTAATGAGATCATATGATCACAAGACCATGATCAATTTTTCTATAAATCTATAAAACTCAAAACTAATCTCCACAGTGTTACATTAAAATAAGTATCCATAATGTAACTGAAATTTTAACATGGATGTCAAAATAAATATATCCTGTGTGGGGCCTGAGTGATTCACATACTTGTTAAGAACCCCGCTGTATGTGATTCAGGAATTTATTTTTCAAGACAATAAGAAACCATTAGGTGTAGATTTCAGAGGGGGCAAATATGACATGCCACCACCTAACATTTTGAATACAGAATACGTCCAACATCTGTAGGATTTTTTTTCTCCAAGTGAAGTGATCTATTTGAACCCTAAACGTGAAATTTAAGTACACATTACACCACACCACAGTCTTTCTGATACTGAAGATAGTTTTCTAAAACAGTGTCACAAACCACCACTATGCACACAATATCAGAATGCAGGGTGGTCTTGTACTTGCTCTTCTACTCTCAGTAGGCAGCCAAGCAATTGTGTATTATCACAAGTTTATGGACCACAAGCAATTACCACACTTTTATCAGATAAAAGAGCCTTAAATATTAGTCCCCGCAAATCTGCCCTTTATTTTGCACTTTCGGATTCTTCGCTGTTTCCACCAGGTCATCCCTGTTTCTGTTTCGCTAGAGTCTGAGGAAAACCATTTTTTAATTTGGATGGATTACATTTATTTTAATCACATGGCCAAAATAATGCATAATAATTCTAAGTAATTAAATACAAATTTGAGTGTGACCTCTTCCATGTAGTAATAACTCTCTTAATTAGCAAAAGTTAACCAGCTTCTAGTGGATGAGACGAACCCAGAATGGCTAATCCAAAGCTGGACAGTCCTGATCCCCAAGGATCCCCAGAAAGGACCAACTACTAACCAATAATCTGCCTCAATAAAACATGGAAGCTCCTGTCCTGTAATAGGGCGAAAATGAACAGGCACATAGAAGGAAAAAGGCAGAGACACCAGAGGGGCAAAACACCTCCTTGTTGACGGAGCAGTCACTTGAGACTGTAAAACCAGAATGACCAACCTGTGCACCGCCTGGATCGACTTCAAGAAAGACGATGATTCCAGGATTCAGATGGATCCTGGAATGCCTGAAACAGAAGAAGATCAACCAGAGAGCCTTCATTAGGAATTCAACAGGGATGTGGCCAACAACACTAGAGGCCAACAAGTCACTGTCAAGGATGCAGGATTTACCAAGGAGATACTCTGTCCCCACTCCCTTTCTACAAAGGCCTGAACACCCTTAGTCAAATCATCAATGAGACTGGCTGAAGAAATCATTAGTCATATCCTCAACATGGATGGTATCAAGCTGTGTGCCAGGAGAGACATTAGTTCACCGATCCACACTGCTAGGATCTAGTGTAACAACGTCTGGACTGGATAAATGTAGTTGGATGGGAAAAAAGTAGAGAAAGTCGTTAGAACTGGGGAGATTGTACTACCAGAAGGCAGCATTGTTGACATGGAAGATAGATGCAAAGATCTTGGAATCCCACAGGCAAATGGGACTCATGAAGAGGCCTATAGGAATGCCACAACTGCCAAATTCCTGCAGAGAGAAAACCAAGTAAAATGAGCCAGTTGAATGAAAAGAAAAAGATCTAGGGAATCAACACCTACACACAAAGATCCTTTAGTGCATCAGGAAGATGGCAACAGCTGATCACATGCTTAGTGAATACCCGAGACAGCAGAAACCAGAGAAAGAAGAGGAGCAAGAAGATGAACCATCAAAGAAGCACAGGCCCCTGAACAGCACGTACCACCCAGCAGATTGAAAATCCTGCCAATGGCTTTACAAAGCCGGACTAAAAGATAGCACAGAGGCACTAAACACAAGATCCACACCAGGCAAGAACCCCAGGTGCAGGTTGTGAAAAGATCCCCCTGAGACAACCCAACAGCAGGGTGCAAGATGCTAGTAGGCAGGGCGTACATGGAACACCATCTCAAAATGGTGTGTAAGTCTTATAAATAAAAGTTATGCACAAATTACATATTTAACAAACTTATTTTCTTAGTGATAATTTGAGTGTCATCTGGACATTCCAGTTGTTGTTTTTTTTCTAATTCCTAATGTTAAAAATATTATGTGCTTTACTATTGTGAAATACACCTATGTATCTATTCAGAAATTGCCACTAGTTTTGTTTTTACAATGTCCTGGGATTTTTTAATTTGTTCAAATATAGGACTTTAAAGGGTTGCCTGAATTTTGGTTATATTTTTAATTAGCCAATACACAGATGTGTTTTAATACATCTGTCCCAAATTACAGATTACAAACATAATATTTTTAAGGAAATCAGGGATGGCGGGGAAGAAAATATTCTAATATTTTGATGATTTGGGATTCGAGTGACCAGGTCAATCAAGAATTGGCACACATTTAACTAAATTATTTTCTGAGCTATAATTAGAGCACTACCTGGACACTCCAGTATTTTTTCTGTTTTGATAGGACAGTTTAGTGATCGTTTTTGTGGTGAAGCCTGCCATATTTGTTCAATCCATCATGAAAGTTAAATAAAAATAGCATTGTATTCATTTTTATCACTAAAAATTAAATATTAAAAAGTATCTGACATGCTTTATTTTTACAGTATTGTATTTGATCTTTTCTGTTTTCTATTTATCACAAAAAATACACACAGACTATAAAAATGCTACCAAAACAGTAAGTTCAGCTCCAAGTCGATGCAAAAATACAAATACAAATAAATAATCAGAAGATAATGGACAGGTCAGCAGGGTCAGCAGGGAGTGTTTTACTCCTGCAAATCTACATGATGGGGTTGAGTGTGATAGCAGTCATCCACTGGGCAGGCTTAACTACTCACTGCAGTGATGTCTTATCTGCAACAACACAAGAAGTCTTTCTGGAGGTTTTCACTCCACACCTGCAGGTGGTGGTGTTGGTCCTAGTTTCTTTAGCCTCCTAAACAAGAGGAGTTGGTTGATTTGTATCCAAACGAGCATACACTGTTAACTCTTTCCACATTCACAGCTTAACAGTATAACAATATGGCTGATCAAGTAATAATGTGAGCTTAGAATGTTTTATTATATTAATCAGGTTTTGTTGACTGAGGAGTACAGTGCAGATGATTTCTCTACTCTTCCTTTACTTCTGGTGTAGACAGAAAAAGAGAGAAGATGATATTATTGCCATTAATACAGATTCACATAGTAGAAAAGCTAAAAAGCATTACATAGAAAACACCAGCAGTTTGGATCAGGATATTTAACAGGGTTTCTTCACACTTAATGCTAAGTTTCCTCATTGAATTGTTCATGACAGCTCATTTGTCTAAACAGCAGATAAAGCGGGAATCAACACATGTTCATGTTTTACCACCAAGCAGTGTGGAAACTGAGTTTAAAACAACATGTCGAGTTCTTTAAGAAGA